AGAAGAAATCTAATCTAGCTCTGAATGCCACCTTCTCTCTGACTACAACAGGACATGTTCAAAGTGACACACCAGCAATATGATGCTTATACTACGTTGAAAATGTTGTCAGTTATAAACTTCAAAAGTAAGTCTGGTCAAAAAGTAAAATAGGGCAGGACGAATGTTTTTGATATTTTCCAATAGATGACTTTTTTTTTTTATTGACACTGTGATGGAAAAACAGGTTAAAATTTTCAACAAAATCTTGTCTCATTTTTTGACCTCGTACAGAGCAGGTGAAATTTTTGACATTTGAAAATATGACTATTTTTAATTGAAGTTTCAAATTTTGATGAGGATCAGGGAAGGATGACATATTTGGTGGGAAATTTAAAGAAAAATTACATCCCGTTTTCCCATCAGCCTTACTGAATAGTTTTCACTGACTTATTTCCATTTCCCCTCGATCACTGTCTTTTTCAGACTTTGAACAGAATGTAATTGAAATTGCTGCCCACATCTAGTTGATCACTACACGTTATGTAGATGTAACTATTGAAGCCACTTTCAGAAGTAATCTTCATAAAATGATTCCACTTATCCTCAGAGAACATTAGACGCACTATTGTGATAGCTAGGATTCGCTTCACGGTAATAACTAATTACACTTTCCCCTGATTGCTCACTTTCATCTACAGACCTCAAAGGGATGTACAAAGATAGGTCAGCCCTATGATTACCAGATTGTTTCACAGGTGGAAAATAGAGATTAAGGCCCTGCTATACAAGAGTTCCCACCAACCCAGAGTGCTTCGTTTTTGGGGTGCACAATATGGGACACGCAATCTGACATTTAGAGGTACTGAGAAGCCACCGCCTCTCTTAACATCAACATTAAAATAATAGCACACAGCTGTGGTGGAGTGAATTGAGGATAGAGTAGGGAGACCAATGTTTTGTTTCTTATTCTACAAAAGGCAGTGACCAAAATTTTCTAATGCAGCCCTAATATTTTGGTGTCTCCCTTTTTTGTTGGCTAGATTATACCAACCTATGACTTTAGAGTACATGTTTCAGTTTATTATCCAGGCAGATAGAAGTTTCTAAACTCCAGTTTTTTAAACCACTGAAATTCATGATAGATCTTCCATTACTAATAGTTGGCTTCCAAGACTAATTGTCCTAGAGGTACCAGTTCTTTTAGGGATTCCAGATTATAAGTATTCCATCAATAATTTCTTTTTAAGGGATTCATTTTTACTAATTTTAGAGTAATTCCCTAAAACTGTTTCCCAGACAAAGAGAAGGAACTAAACGCAGCGTGGCTTACATTGCACAAACTCATTGATTTCTGAATTTGATGTCATGGGCTAGATTCTGCTCTCATTTACACTGGTGTAAACCCAAAGAAACTCCATGAATTTCAGCTTAATTACTCCAGATTTCCCCCTGTGTATCAGAGATCAGAATCTGACTCTGCAGACTTGGTGTTCATGCAGATAAAAATTTTAATTTTTTCACTTCCCTTATCCTCCCTTTCAGTCATTGGAAGCAGCTATCAGACACTTAGAAGTTCAGATATTGAAATGAGGACTTCCAGGTCTCCTACGGACAATATGGAGACGCTGACTACATTCTCCAGAAGTGGAGAGAGGACGTTGCTGTCTATGACAAACAGTGCCATGTCTACAACTGCAACAGAAAGCACCACCTCTTATACAGAAATGATCAGTTCTGCAGATTTAACCCAGCAGTCCTCTTCTGTAGAGCAGAACAGAAGAAATAGCTCCTCAAGTGACATGTATTTCACTAAGCCTGGAACAGAGTCTTTGATTGTACATTCTTCTGAGATACCCACCTATTCATCTTCACAAAGTGATCCTCCAGGTGAGTTTTATCATCCATAAGAGCAGTAGTCTTGATAAACCCCACCCAAACCCCTGCACCAAATGTAAGTAATGATTTATAAAGGAATCATGCCCCGTTGTTGGTAACTATATTCTAGGACATTCTTAATTTCAGGGGGTGATTTTGTTTTTAAAGAAAGGTGGTCAATTTTGTTCTGTGAGCTTCTTAGAAACTGCATTTGTCATTCTTGACCAACCAGTGACATGGAGAGGGAGTCCATTATTGGTAATTTACATTAACCATACATATGTCTCTAAGTTATTGAGCTCAGCCATCCAACCCTGCTGAATTTCATTACAAACATTAAGGCGACTAACACCTTTGATGGCATTTCAGGACTGATTCTCATTTACGCTAAGGCCCCTTTGCACAGCTCTGGCAATGTAACAGGGCCGTAGGGTAAATAAAAAGCATTTTCTTATTTATAGGCAAAGAGTGTCTGTGTAGAACATTTTCAGTCAGTGATTTTTTTCTTAGACCCTTATCCTGAAAACACTTAACTTTCTTCTTGCACATGTCCCATTGACTGTGACCAGGAGTCCAGCTGTGTACATGCTTGAGTTTTTGCAAAAGCAGCAGGGCTGCGTTTTGTTTTTTTGTCTACTGATTGAAAAATTCTCACATGTGCTATATGTGTCTGATTACAGCATTCGCACTTAAAAACATGCTTCATTCCATTGGATAATTAGACAATGTCACACCAGTATTTGCAGTGTTCTCTGTGTGAAGTATAGGGAAGTTTAGGTAATAGTGCAAATATTGTGGCAACTTTAGCTACTTGTATAAGCCAAAATTGGCATGTCTTTAAGAGCTGCCACTGTAAGTGCTGTTAGCACAACAACAATACAAATATTTTAATTTCTCTTTATTGTATTTTAGCCATTGGAAGCAGCCACGAGACAGCTAGCATCTGGGATATGGAAAAAAAGACTCCTAGTTCTCATACTGATAGTATGTACATTTCACCTACATTCAGCAGAGGTGGGGAGAGGACAATACAGTTGCTAACAAACAGCATCACTTCAACTGATTCACTAAAAAGCACCACTTCTCATACAGAAATTGCCATGTCTTCAGATCTATCCCACTCCTCAGCTTCTATATCATGGACTGGAGGAAGTAATAGATCATCAACTATCGCTGCTCTCCCTGAGTCTTCAACAGGGCCTTTACTTATATATTCCCCTTTAAAGAGTGGTCTCCCAGGTGAGTTTTACAGTCCATAGGCTTTTCATTTCACAGTAAAAATATTATAAAATATTACCAAATGTCATTTTTTGAAAATATAGGAATAATAGTACTAAGCACTTAGCAATTTTTATTGAAAAGTTAGAGAGGGTTCAAGAATTATTTGATAGCTGTAAAATATGCCTTGCAGTAAGAGATTTGCAGTAAGAGATTTAAAGAACTCAATCTACTTAGCAAAGAGAAGGTTAAGAGGTGACTTGAGCATAATTAGGTATCTAATAGTAGACTCCTCTTTTATTTAGCAGACAAAGGCATAACAAGACCTACTCACTGGAAATCGAAGCCAGACAAATTCAAACTGGAAATAAGTTGCAAGTTTTTACCAGTCAGGGTAATTGAGCATTAGAACAGTTTTCTGAGGGACATGAGGGATTCTCCATGGGAGCTGCTGGAAGCGGCGTGGGCCAAGGGATGTACTGGCCGCCGCTTCCAGCAGTTCCCATTGGCCTGGAGCAGCGAACCGCGGCCACTGGGAGTCACAATTGGCCGAACCTGCGGACACGGCAGGTAAACAAACCGGCCCGGCCCACCGGGGCTTTCCCTGAACAAGCGGCGGAACAAGTTTGGGAACCACTGCCCTAAGGGTCTGTCTTGGGTCCAATACAATTCAATATTTTCATTAACGACATAGATGATGGAGTAGAGAGTGTGCTTATAAAATTTGCAGATGACACCAAGCGGGGAGGGGTTGCTAGCACTTTGGAGGACAGGATTAGAATTCAGAATTATCTTGATAAACTGGAGAATTGGTCTGAAATTGACAAGATGAAATTCAATAAAGACAAGTGCGAAGTACTGCCCTTAGGAATTAAAACTCAAACGCACAAATACAAAATGGGGAATAACCAGCTAGGCAGCAGTACTGCAGAAAAGGGTCTAGGGGTTAGAGTGGATCACAAATTGAATATGAGTCAGCAGTGTGATGCTGCAGCAAAAAAGACAAATGTCATTCTGAGATGAATTAACAGGAGTGTCGTATGTAAGACATGGGAGGTAAATGTTCCATTCTACTGAGGCCTCAGCTGGAGAGCACTGTGTCCAGTTTTGGGCACCACACTTTAAGAAAGATGTGAACAAGTTGGAGAGAATCCAGTGGAGAGCAACAAAAATGGTAAGAGGGGTAGAAAACATGACCTCAGAGGAAAGGTTGAAAGAATTGGGCATATTTAGCCTAGAGAAGAGAAAAGGGGGAGTGGGGGGACCTGATAAGTCTTCAAATAGTAAAAAGTTATTATAAAGAGGATGGTGTTCAATTGTTCTCCATGTTCACTGAGGGTAGGATAAGAAATAATTGGCTTAGTTTGCAGCAAGGGACATTTAAGTTAAATATTAGGAAAAACTTTCTAACTATAAGGCTGCTTAAGCACAGGAACAGATTCCCTGAGGAGGTTGTAGAATCCCCATCATTGGATGTTTTTAAGAACAGGTTAGACAAACACCAACCAGGGATGGTCTAGGTATAGTTAATACTCCCTCAGCACAGGGGGAAGTACTAGATCACCTTTTTGAGGTCCATTCCAGCCCTGCATTTCTATGACTCTATGAATAGACATCTGTCAATACTTGCAGGGTTTCCTCAATATAAAGGTTTCAGTCAATGATTTCTTTCCATGGTATCATTTATTTTCTCCAAACTGAAATATTTTCATTTTCCCCGCTACACACAAGCTGTGAATCTGAATATTATTGGAAGAAAAATGGTCCAAGTGTTTTGACTTACGAGAATGGAATTTTAATATTTCTTTACCCTATTTCAGCCATTGAAAGTAGCCATCAGCCAACTAACGGCTCAGAGAAAAATATTGCCAGTTCTCACATTGCCAGTACGTACATTTCAACTACGTCCACCAGAGCTGGAGCAGGGAGGTTACAAGATCTCATAAACAGCAGCAGATCTTCTAATGCAACAGGAAATTCTACTTCTGGGACTGAAATGTCCAGCTCTTCGTATTTAACCCAGTCGTCATCTATATCTTCTATAGCACTGACCAGTGGAATTCATATCTCATTGGCTGCCACAGATTTCACAGAGCCTTCAACAGACCCTTTGCTTACACAGTCTCATTCTGCTTCAGAAACTGCTTCCAAAGGTGAGAATTATTAGTCCACTAGCTTGCTGTTTTAAAGTTTTTTAAATTTATTTTAAAAACCCTTTGTGAACAAAATGCCTAATTATTCTTTTACTAGAGGAGGAATAATATTATATTTTGCACTTATAGAGCTTTTTCCCATAGATCTCAAAACATTTCACAACTAGGTAGCCATGGGTAGGTATCGTTACTAGAACTTGTGGGAAAATGGAGGTGTGGTTTGGATTTTTGGTGGAAAATGTCAACTTTTTGTAGAAAAGCTGAAAAGTTTTTGGTTTTCAGGGTTTTGACTTTTTGACACTTAGTCAAAAATTTTACACAGAAAACTGACACTTTTCATGAAAATTTTCATTTAGTCAAAATCCAATTTTCTGTCAAAAAATAGTTTTGACTATCTCTAATCATTACCTCTGGTTGTGCATCAAAGCTGGGATTTGAACCCAGATCTCCTGAGTGCTGTATCTGTTGGACCATACTGCTGCTGTGAACTGAGTCCGGTCATCAGTAATTCAAAGGCCGTGCTGACTTTGTTGTGTCCGCTAAGATTTGTGGTTCTTGGCCAGCTACACTGGAGAAGGAATCTAATATCCACTTATCTCACCCCTTTGCATCAGATGTGTTTTTGAATATCTCTAAGGGTTTGTCTACACTGGGGCCCTATTACACAGCAAGCCACTAGTTTGCCACGCAGCAATAGCCTGTGTGGACAATGCTACAGTGCACAAAGGGTATGTCTACACTGCAGTTAAACACCCACAGCTGGCCCATGTCAGCTGGCTTACGCTGCTGGGCTGTGTAATTGCGGTGTAGACATTCAGGCTCAGGCTGGAGTCGGGCTGGGATCCCACAAGGGCTGGGAACCCAGAGTCCAGGTTCCAGACTGAGCCTAAACAGCCTGGTAGTTTGAGCCCCACAAGCCCAAGTCAGCTGACACGGGCCAGCCGCAGGTGTTTAATTGCAGTATAGCCATACCCTAAAAGTTCCAGGAGCTTTGGCCATGTCTGCTTGTAAAGTATAGTAAATCAAAGAATGCTCCAGGACTTCTATAGCAGTGTCCACACTGGATGTTAGCATGCAGCAAGCTAGTGCACTGTAGTGTCCCACTTTGTCTTGCTGCACAGTAACACCTCATGTAGACAAGCCCTTAGTTATTCAGTGTTCTAAGTCTGCTGAATTTAATTCCAAATATTTCATTGTTTTCTATTTTATATTTTGTAAGTGCTAGCAGCATGGAATGCAAAGTAATATCACTGAATGATGAAGTTAAGCTTGCTGCTTGTTATTGCCACAGTTTTTTGAGTTGCACTTTTCATGGTTTGTGCTAATTTTTTGCAAGTATTAATTTCACGTGGTGTTCTTCACTCTAAAGGGTTCAAATCTCTCTAAGCTAGCAATTTCTCCAGAATGAAAAGTACCCATATTTAATATTCGTACATGCATTATTTGCATCTGGGTGATATGAGAAGAAAACATATCTGTTTGGATTTATGCATATAGAATTATAATCTTTATAATCTTTTAGCCATTGGAAGTAGCCACCAGCCAATTAACATCTCAGCTACAGAAAAAAGGACTTCTGATTTGTATGCCACCAGTACATACATTTCAACATCATTCACAAGAGGTGGAGAGAGGACGTTAAGGTCTCTAATGAACAACAGCACATTACCTGATGTAGCAGACAGCTCCACTTCTGACTTAGAAAATACCAAGTCTTCAGATTTACCCCAGCCCTCGTCTCCTGTAGCACAGGCTGGAGGAAGTAATATCTCATCAAGTGACTTGACTGAGCCTTCCACAGAGTCTTTGTTTACACATTCTTCCAAGATCCCAAGTTATTCGTCTTCCCCAAATGATCTTGCAGGTGGGTTTTGTGATTCCCAACTGTTGAATGCACCATTTACAAACGTAAAACAATAAAAAGAACCTCCCACCCCCCAAAACTGAGTCAACCCTTTTTTTAAAGAATCAGTTGCGCTTTAACTCAGGCTCTTACCTATCTAGCATCCTTATATGCCCCCCAGTCACCATAGTATCTGAGCAGCACATAGTCTTTAATGTATTTCTCCTGACAACACCCCTGTGAGGTAAGGAACGGCTGTTATCCCCATTTTGCAGATGGGGAGCTGAGGCACAGAGAAATTGACTGGTCCAACGTCACCATGCAACCATTTTTTCACTGCCAGATTTTGCCACCGTTGCCCATGTCCACCAGTGTCATATCCTGCAGGTACTCTCATTATGATGTAGGGGACTACATGCATTGTAAGATATGACAGTGTAAAACTGGAGATTCAGGCACGTAGTGATTCTGTACCGAGTAGCAGGATTGACAAAGGCATGCAACTCTGGATTGCTTACCTTGAAACTGTACCTGTGGGTGGTACTTTTAAATATTTCTATAGGTGTTGAATTTCAATTCCCAACTTCACTGAATTTCATTACCAACACATTTTTTTGGCTTTTTGAGCCTACTTTTTACAAAAGAGCGAAAGTTTCTAAAGATTCCTGGATATAAAGGCTCAGATTCTCTCCTGTGCTGAGGTCAGTGCAGGAGAATGCGAACTAGCATGCAGCAATTTACACCTCCCTGATTCATAAGAACATAAGAACGGCCGTACGGGGTCAGACCAAAGGTCCATCTAGCCCAGTATCCTGTCTACCGACAGTGGCCAATGCCAGGTGCCCCAGAGGGTGTGAATCTAACAGGCAATGATCAAGTGATCTCTCTCCTGCCATCCATCTCCACCCTCTGACAAACAGAGGCTAGGGACACCATTCCTTACCCATCCTGGCTAATAGCCATTAATGGACTTAACCACCATGAATTTATCCAGTTCTCTTTTAAACGCTGTTATAGTCCTAACATGGTGCGTTGGCCCTGGCACATAAGCATAAATTAGAGCATTTTAGGGACTGCTCTAACTTACATTACCTGACTATCACCTTACTGGACAATAAACCTATCAAGAATTATGCCCTGTCGTACCCCCTGGCCATTCCCAACATGACTCCAATACTCCACCTTCCAGGATGTGTGTGAGGGGCAGTTGGCGTAGAAGCCAGCTATGCCATTTGAGGACTCCCCTATGCCTGGGGAATTTTCTGCTGGCCATTAAGGGGCAGGTTCCATCACTCTCTGTTACCTTTCTGCTTTAGATCAGCCACAGGAATCAATCTAAGTGACAGATTTCACTGAATAATTTTCTTTTAAGAAATTATCATTTTCTAAAGACTGAAAAGTTTCCAGATTTATTTTCACATGCCATTTATATATCAATGAATGTGTTGTTAAACTAACAGTGTAAGAAAGTGGACCACATTTTATTAGTGTACAAAAGTGCCAGCTACTTGACTAGCTTGGTTCATAATTTATAATAATTCTAATGCATTATTCCTACTGTTAGGTACTTAGTGTGTCAGCATCTTTGGAGAGACCTGCTTATAAAAATTGCAATCAGTAGAAAAGATTTGGGGTTTTTTTCATACACACTGATTAATACCCTACTGATTTTATTCTTGACCTAATCTTTATAAACCATATTCATTGCATAGCTTAATTTAAGTTAGAGTTAAACTTTGGATTTATTTGGTTCTGTATTTCAGGCAAAATGATTATAGAACTTGCAAATCAATTTTCATTTGGCCACATTGAATTTAATTTCTATCTTTTAATCCCATTTTAGCTATAGTAAGTAGCAACCAACCAGTTAGCATCTCAGCTACAGAAAAAAGAACTTCTGATGTACATACCACCACTACGTATATTTCAACAACATTGATCAAAGGTGGCGAGAGGACATTAAGATCCCTAACAAACGGCAGTGTATTACCCAATGCAGCAGAAAGCTCCACTTCTAATTTAGAAAATACAAAGGCTTCTGATTTAACCCAGGCCTCAACCTCTGTAACACAGGGGGGAGGAAGTAATATCTCCTCAACTGACTTCACTGACCCTTCAACAGAGGCTTTGCTTACACATTCTTCCAAGAGCTCAAGTTATTCGTCTTCACCAAATGATCTTGCAGGTGAGTTTTGTGATTTCCCAGTTGGTTAGTTCACCATTGTCTTTTCAATGCCAAATGTGGGTTTTTTTGTGTGTGGAGGGAGGGGTTGTTGTTTTTTTTTGGCGGGGTGGTGGGAGGGAGAGGTTGGAATTGCCAGAGACCTAAAAAGTCTGTTTTTCATAGAGCTCTCTGTGCAACCTTTCTCCTCTGGAACAACTACAGGAATTTATACCACTGGTTTTACTCAGTAATTTTCTTTTAAGTAATATTCATTTTCTAAGGACTGAATAATTTCCCGATGTTTTCCCAAGCAGTATCTATATGTATCAATAAATAAGTGCTATTAAACTAACAGTGTACGAAAGTGGATCACATCTTAATGGGAGAGTGCCTGTCACCTGGCTAGTTTGGGCCATGCTTTATTTATAATCATTTCAATCCATCATTCCAAGTCCAATGAAATTCATTCTGGTTCGTACCTTTCACCCTTGGAGAGTCCTTCTTATGAAAGTTTCAATCAATAGAAAATATATTGTTTTTTAAATACTCTGTGATTTATACACAGCTTGTTGTTCTTGATCTAGTTTTTATAAGGGGGGAGGGATAGCTCAGTTGTTTGGACATTGGCCTGCTAAACCCAGGGTTGTGAGCTCAATCTTTGAGGAGGCCACCTAGGGATCTGGGGCAAAAATCAGTACTTGGTCCTGCTAGTGAAGGCAGGGGGCTGGACTTGATGACCTTTCAGGGTCCCTTCCAGTTCTATGAGATAGGTATATCTCCATATATTAATATATATAAGCCAAATTCATCCCATATTTAGCTCCCTTTAAATTGATGGAATGACAT